TAGACAACTCTAGATAGCTTAGTGGTTATGGTCATTAGTAGTAGAAAAACTTGTGGAAAGCGTCAATTTATTTATTTGTTTGGTTTTTGCATTATAATCTTAATCAATGTTCTTAAAATCAAACCTGACCGATTGATCCGATCGGAAAAATTTGAAAATTGAACTGAAATCCTGTTTGATCATACTATAAAATAGGGATATTACAAGTCCAAAGCTGATATTTGTTAAAAAAAATTTAGAGCACAGTGAAGAAGAGAATGCCGCCGCTTCTCCGATTGCCTAATAGTCGTCGAAGCTCCAATATCTCTTTAGCAAAGCCCTTACATAAAGTTAAAATCAAAACATCCAACATTCAAATCTAAAACCATATTAAAGAAATAAATAAAATGAGAGAGAAGACAGAGTACTTAAAAACAAAATACATATATTTGTCAACGTGAGAGAGAAGACCAAAGACGACAACTTCTACTTAATACACTTTTAAATTAATTAAATCTTTTAAACAAGTAATTAAGACGTTCTAAACTATTAGAACCCCAAACCTAAATCAGTAACCTCGATGGAAAACCCTCCATCCTCAAGAGACCTCATTCCAGAAGGCTCAAAGAAAAACTTTCCTCATCCATGACTTCTCTCACACATATCCTCCGACTCTTCTTTGAGAAACACTAAATCACCGAACCTCTAAAATCCCAAATCAAAACCTTCAAAATCGGAAACTCACCAATGTTGGTGAAGAAGGAAACAACTTCAAAAAGATTATAAACCTAAGGTTAGCCAAGATTTTTCACTATTTCAGACTTTTTTATGATTTTTATTCAATTTCATGCTGAAATGTTTTGTATTTGTGTATTGTAGCCTGTGTTTTTGTATTTTTAAGTGCTTTAAATATATTTTGAAATGCCTATTATCCTAAAATCACGTTGTGATGATTAAACTGTTAGCGTAATACATTTTCTGAAATCAAGAATACTATTGATTTGTTAATTTGGGAGCAGTTTTTTGTTCAGTAAGCTCTTTAACAATGGCTATGGTATGTCATGGAGTGTATTGAGCTCAAGTTGTTAGTCTTTCTAATCAGCTAGCAGAACAAGGTATTATAGCAATTTTTTTGTGAGGAAAATAGATGACTAAGAAAACATTTGTGCGTTTGAGAAGTTTGTATTTTGTTTGTCGAATTGAATGTATGATTCAAACACATCATTCCATTAGGCAGAGAGTTGAAATCCCAATTGCATTTTTTCTTGTATAAAGAGATGTTATAGGTTCCTAAATCTTGCATTACCCTTTTTTATTTCGTTTATCCGAAATGCATTTTCTTGATTGTACCACCAATTGACCAATTCAATCTAAGTGAGCATTTAATTATGATGAATGCAATTATATCAATTCGATTTGATCTTTTTTTGGTGAAGGTTAGTTGCTTTCTTTTCTTGTTTTTGCAGCCCATATGCTTAGCTTTACTCACGTGAAGAAATTTTGACGATGATAATGTATAACTATTACTGATTCGTGTTGATGTTTTTGTAGATGTTTTCCTATGTTCACACTTACGAGTAATGTTAGATTGAGGGTATGGTGCAAATCGATATACCATTGAGAAAGCCAGAGAGTTAAAGGCCAAGGGGATGGATACAATTGCGTACATTTCTGTTGATAATGCGTCTATGATAAATGCCTGGAAGGACCTGAAATTTGGTGATGAGATGTTGTTGAGTGATGGGAATGGGGATTTTACCAAGGCTGTTAGTTGCGAGCTGGATTTGAGTGATAAGCCTATAGGACTAGGAGTTAGATCCAAGAGATATGCTATGCATGTGAAAGATGGGGTTGTGAAAATCTTGAATTAGGAAACAATAATGCTTCACAACATGAGTTGATCAACTATTATAACATGATAATAGAAATCACTTGAGAGCAGAATTTTCGCATGTTATTCCTTAAACTTGACCTAGCGTAGCTACAAGCAGGATGCAAATACTCTTGCAAATAAATATTGAAATGGCTGGAGGTGCATGGAATGTGAAAATTGTCTTATATCAGGTTTTTTTTTTTTTTATCTTGCATGACTCTAATTATAAGTAGATTTTTGTCAACAAGAAAATCATCATCATCATAATACTATTTTTGTAAAAAAAAAAATTTTAAATTTTTGTCACTTTTTAGTATTTGTTACTTTTTTTGAATTTCATCACTTTTGAGTGTTTGTCACTTTTATTTTTAGTATTTGTCACTTTTTTAGCTTTTATCACTTGTTTTAGTCATCTTATTGATTTCTATTACTTTTTTAATGGTAAACATCAATTTTTAATAAAATTGATATTGTATGTCATTTTTCAATAAAAGAGTGACGTTTAACTTTTAAAATTGACACCGTGTCACTTTTTTTTTTAATTAAAAAGTTACACAATTTTTATATAAAAGTGACACTGTGTTGCTTTTTAATGTTACAGGGTATATTTTACTTCTAAAAATCTTCTCATATGATTTTTCAAAAAAACTCCTAATTTTATGAGTATTTTTGTAAGATGCCCCTGAATATTTTAGTCAGGTTTGCATATGTATTATCACATTTTTTGGCCCATTTATTTTAACTAAATTCCTAATAAATAATAAATATTAAATAGCATATTTTAAAATTATATTTTAATTAAGTAATTTTTTAATGTAATAAATCTATTTATTTATTTTATATTTTGATTCTGGGTTAATTCCGATCTGACGTTTTGACCCTTGATCCTTAACATTTTACGGGTCGGTTCTCAAGACATCGATCTTAAGGGAAAATTTCATAACTAAAAGGTTAATTGGCACTCATTTCTAAACTAAGAACAAATGTTTCAAATTTCAAAAATCATATATTTATTAAAAATAATTATTATTAAAGAATTGATTTCATTGATACCGTGGATTGCTTTTATGATTGTTATTATTGCAATTAATTACTTGATAAAAATTACTTGATCAATAATTAATTGATTTGTAAATGCCAGAGTCGAGATCTGTATTACTTATTTTAACCATACAGTAAAATCCATAATTTGACTAGATGATAGAGATATTATGTTAGAATTAGTGTGACTGTTTAAAGCATTTAATTAGTTCAAAATTCACATAGAGATACAGCGAGTTTAATTAATTAAATAAAATTGAATTTGCTCTATAAAGTTTTCAATTAAATTTGAGAAATTCAATCAAATAAATATATCAATTATTTTTCATAGCTTCGTATAAGAAATTAAGAGAATTAAAATAAATTAGAGAATCTTTAACTTTTTCTTGATGACTTAATATCAAAACCAACATTATCAAGTAATTAGTAAAACTGCTATTGTGACAGGAGCGTGTCAGCGCCAATTTGCCCCACTGACACCCCCTCCAATAGAGGAGCGCCTTGTCGACAGCCCCCGTTTGTTTAGAATTATTCATTAATGAGGCCCTCGTTTGTTTAGAATTATTCATTAGTTTATCATAGCATAGTTTTTTTAGATTAAAAGATAGAATGACAAACTATTTTTCAGGTAAATTTTTCAAATACATAATAAAATTACAATCATGCTGCACTATCACAAAGTTTGACACATTTGTTGACACAATACACTCATATGGGAGGTCGGCATTATTTTATTCGCGCGGGACCCACACCCCAACTGCGAGTGTGGTGTCATCCAATGTGTCAAACTTTATGTTCGTTTAGCATTTTCCATAAAATTAATGTAGGTAAATAGAAACAATATTTTGAACTCCTTAAATCCACGTTTACTAAGAAATTTGAATGTATAATACATTTGTGATTTTTGCTCGAACATCTATGTATTTGATTTAAAAAATAATAATAAGCCCTTGTTTGAGCCCCATTTTTTTTGTGAAAGAATGAATTTTTGAATAGTGTATTGATAGAAAATGTGTGGTTAAAAAATAAAGAAAAATTTTAGATTTACGTGTAATATTATTTTATTAAGCACTTGTTTGGTACCCATTTTTCCCAAAATACATTTTTCTCTATCTTATTTTCGACCATACACTTTTCAATAAAATAATATTACACGCAAAACTAAAATTTTTCCTTATTTTTTAACCACACATTTTTCAACAATCACTATTACAAAATGCATTTTTACTATGAAAATGAGAAACAAACATGCTCTAAGAATGTGTGGTTGAAATGATGTCAAAATACTGTTGAAAAATATATTTTTTCAAAAGAACTTGACTCAAACAAGGGCTAATAATAAATAAATAAGCGGTGGTATATCATTAAAATATCACATGCCACGCATAGTCAACAAATAGGGATGGCAATCGGACTCGTCGGCTCGAACCGTCCATAGTTCAGCTAAAAAAAAGCTCGAGCCCGCCCGATTCGAGGCTCAGACCGAGTCCCATTTTTAGATGTAGGGCAAAGCTTGAGCCAGCCCATGTGGCTTGCCAGCTCAAGAGAATCGAGCATATATTTAAATAATAATAATAATAATAATAATAATAATAATAATAATAAAGGTAGCACGCTACCTTAAAATACAGAGTGTTGCTGTTAGAAATAGGCATCAGGTTGCTGTCTTGTTTGGTAGCAATCTGCTGCCTTTTTAATTATAATAATAGCCTTTTCAATTATAATAATAATAAAAAATTCAAAACCAAATAAAATCCCAATCGGCTTGGCTCGAAAAAGCCTCGAGCCTAATTTTTTTTGTCAAGCTTTTTCTTGGCCCGATTCGAGCCCGTGAAAAGCTCGAATATTTTATTTGAATCGAGCTCAAACCTAAAATTTCAACTCACGAATTAGCTCGACTCGACTCGACCCGATTCGTTGGCATCCTATGCTTGCCATTGGTTTGCCCAAGTAATGAAATTTACCACGTTCTAGAATTATCATCTGTAATTGCGCAACGAGAAATCCCTGGATTTATCAATTTGGGAACCCATAAATTGCAAATCACTGCAATCGAGAGAGAAAAGTAGAATCAGGCTCCCTTTAAATTCTGTTAAGCTCGCCAAAAATGCATTTATTCTCAGATAAATCGTCGTCAATATTCATCATCGTTGTCCTTTTGAGCACCTTTTTTCCGCCGGCTGTCCGCTCAAATCCCAATTTCCTCAAACTGCCCTCCGATCAACAAGAAGATAATCTATGTCCCGTTATTTCCACTTCCGATCCGGACTCCTGCCCCGTGAAGTGCTTCCGACCCGATCCAGTGTGCGGCGTTGATGGGGTCACCTACTGGTGCGGCTGTATTGACGCTTATTGTGCGGGGACGCTTGTCAAGAAATTGGGGTTCTGCGAGGTGGACAATGGAGGATCGGGCCCTGCTGGTCAGGCCCTGTTGCTGGTTCACCTTGTATGGCTCATACTACTGGGGATCTTCGTGCTGTTCGGGCTTCTTTGATTGGAGGATTTTTCACAATTTTTATTCCGTGCTTTGGTGAATTAGGGTTATGACCACGGTTAGATTTGATTCTTTGATTCGGGTTTTTCTACAGATGATCGATTTTAAGTAGTGGATGTATGTTCTTGGTATAGAAGATTCATATTGTTTTGTGTATAAATTGTTCTTGATTACTTGGAGTTTCTTATGTAAATTGCCTTATTGTGGCTTCTTCTTGTTATTAACTGCTTAGATAGTTTTTTAGAGTTCATTGTTTTGGATTCCTAGAGAAGTCGATCTAATCAAATTAAGATGATTATTAATCACCAAATTTGTGGGCTAGGGAATGATGTATAAAGGAATAAAGGATGATGTTTCCCCTTTGGACAACTGAGAGAGCCTGCGGACTTCGTCTCTGTTAACACTTTAGGTTAGTATATTGGAATTTAAAGAGGTTTAAGCAGTCAAATCATGTCCATATATGGATATGAAATTGCTACTTGAGTTGACGGAATAAAAACTTCCCAATATTGATGTAGCAATAGAATCTTGCTTATGGTTCTCTCGGAAAAAGAAGAAATCGAATTACTTGTCTTCTACCCTTTTAGAAGTCGTAAACAACTACAAATTTAGCCTTCTACCATAGATTCTTCTATCCAAAATATGCCCTGTATTTAAGCATCAAGATGGTTCTTTCCCTTCTGTCTCTACTTTTTGCACATGAAAAAGAGCCCTAAAGGCTTCCATGTGAGTTGTGATTTCGGTTGAAATGCATATTGATAGCTGATTTAGCTGAATGTCAGTAATGAATAAGCAGGCAAGTTTGTTGTTTTTATGAGCGTTCCTCGTGGCTACAGACTAATTCTTCACAGAAGAATTTCCGAATGCTCATATGAGGCCCACCCTAGAGTGGCGGATCTAGGAATCCAAGTGAGATAGGGCGGTCGTTGATCATTGACCGTTAACGGCCGCGATAGCAAGATTGTTCATTGGCGATGATGATTTTAAGTTGTGACTGTGATTAGCAGTGTGCTCTACTTATATTCCATATGTTTATATTATCTCTTGTACAATTGAGTACCTTGAGGAAATTCTTACAAAAACCAATATTTTCTATCATTTACCATAACTTGGAATGGAAAAAGTAGAATGATCCACAGCATAGACTTCCTATCCACAAACATTTAATTTGAGAATCAATTTCAAACCTAAACTAAGAAGAATAAAATTAGAAAGTAATTTCTGCACATATATGGAAGACGCATAACAGATCTCTAATTTGCATTGACTGAGAAATTTGACAAGGGAACTAGTAATACTACTTTAACCTTATTTGCCAAGACACAAAAGTCATAGCCACATAGTTAAATATCCATTAAATTGAGGGAAAAGAGGTCAGTCTATAGCTAAACACTAAAAATTGCCCAAAACCCCCCCCCCCCACAAAAGAAAAAAAAAGGGAAAATCGACATACAAACAGGAGGAGAAAAGAATTAACGTTACTAGACCTTAGTCGCACTAAACCCAATAGCAAAAGTGATAATTTAATGTCAAGGACTTCCAAAGGTTTATTTAACCCAACTTGCTATGGTGCTAGATAATCAATATCTCCTACATCTCTTGTTTACTTCTGCTTATCCTCAAAGAATCTATAACAACTTATTCATCATTTTATGTCACTTTTTCTTTCATTATCCCAACATAGAATCATCCTCACCATTTTTATTTTTATTTTTTTCCATATTGTCCTCTGTTTATTTTCCAATCATAACTCATAAATAATAAATGAAAAAAAAAAAGAACCAATAAAAGAAAAAGAAAAAGAAGACAGGTAGAAAGCTCACAAGTCAAGGCATACACAATGGACAGTGGAAAGTGGCGGAGATCAAAGAGTCATAGAGTCGGGGCGAGCCATTTGTCATTTGATTGGCAATTGAATTGAGATTTGTTTACAAACCATTAAACTTGCATCCAGTATTTGGGCCTTTAATAAAAAAAAAAGGGACAACTTACAAAAATACCCTTAAAATTAGAAGTTTTTGAAAAATCATATGAAAAATTTTTTGGAAGTAAAAAATATTGCCTAAAGTTAAAACAAAATGTAACCTTTTTTTTATTTATAAAAATTGTCATTTTTCTATAAAAATAGAATAAAATAAATAATAAAAAAAGTGACACAATATCACTTTTAATAGTTTAGTATCACATTTTTATTAAAAAATGATATACAATCTCACTTTTAACAAAAACTGATGTTTGTCACTAAAAAAATGTAATAGAAATTTCAAAATGATTGAAAAAAGTGACAAATACTAAAAAAGTGATAAAGTCAAAAAAAGTGACTACTACTCAAAAAAGTGACAAAAAAAGTTTACAAATTTTTAAAAGTTACATAGATTCAAAAAAAAAAAAAAAGTGATACAAAATAAAAAAGTGACACAATATCATTTTTTTTTTAAAAAAAAGTGACAAACGCTTAAAAAATGTGACACAAACTCAAAAAAATGACAAACACAAAAATAGTACCATCTATTGTGCAACACCAGTAATCATATTCTTAACATAATTAGTATATCCAAGACAATCCACATGAGCTTAGTGGGGTTCTTAACATAATCAACATGTTCAAGACAATCCACACGCTGATTAAGTTAGGAAAATATAACATATCATGTCACTTTTTATTTTATTAAATAAGTGATAAAAATTTAAAAGATGATGAAAACTCAAAAAAAGTAACAAAATGTAAAAATGTGACAATGTCACTTTGAAAGTTTGCTAGTCACCTTTTTATTAAAAAATGACATATAATGTCACTTTTATTAAAAAGTAATGTTTGTCACTAAAACAAATGATAGAAATTTCAAGAACATAATTGATAACAAACTATCAAATCCTAAAAAAAAGTAACAAAAATTCAAAAAAGTGACAAACAATAAAAAAAAAGAGACAAAAATTTAAAAAAAGTGTCGAAAATTAAAAAAATGACATAAATCTAAAAAAGTGACAAATTTAAAAAATGACACAAATTAAAAAAAAAAAAAAAGCAACACAAATTTAAAAAAAATGACAAAAAATTAAAAAAGTTACAAACAGTCAAAAAAATGACAACTTGACAAACTGATGGCAAGGGCCCCTGCTTTACTGTGTCAATAAGAGCACCAAGGCAATCTCTAAAACTGAGTTGCACAATTATTGCATCAGGGTTAGAATTGTGATCTATCAGGACAATTGGCATTGGGACATCAGCCTCCTGCTCAGACTTTCAAAAAAGAAATATGTTAATAATGTCAATACCTTGGCAATCAATACTATAAACATGCACCAAGAGTGAATCTATGTATGTGCCAATAGATAAAGGAGTCATGAAACAAGAATCAATTTGAAAAGAAAATCGTGCTCCACTGTAGACATGAATAAAGTTTATGTTATATGATCATAAAAGGGGAACAGTCACAAAAACAGCAGTTGAGAAGGAAACATAATAAAATGTGACCAAACAAGTTCAAGATTTCAGTGTAAGTTCATAAATGTTAGTGTCTCTTCAGAAGGAATTAAATCATAAACAAAAACAAATTGATTAACATTTAAGCCTTCAAATAGATTACATGCACCTCGATTGATGGAATTTCTACCCAATTGTCATTCTAAAGAAGAGTAAGCAACCATGCCATTAAATATACCTAACAAGCAACAGAAGTAGAAACTTCTCATCATTTGCTATTATATGCATTCAAACATCTAATAACATGTGAAATCAGTAGCTAAAACTTAAAAAGTGGCAAAAGAGAAATTTGCTAGCCAATGAAATCGAACTTGAATTCACTGAATCCAAACCATCCACATAAGCACACATCATAATGTTCCTACACAACCATCCAAACCAGACTATCCATGAACAAGAAAATAAAAAATAAATCGCATATAGTCAATTGTTAATCCATCAAATTAGACTTAACTAAAACCAAAAGAAAATGCAAAAAGCTGAGAAATTAAATTCTAAAAAAATTGAGAACGCAAATATGAAAAACATTTTATTAGTATACAAAAACAATCCCCTAATTACTTTTTCTACGACGAAATAGATCGCGAGATGATTGAAAATTGATAAATTGGTTTTAAGGTCCAATTGTAGTTTAAAAGAGACATGGAAGAATCCAAAGCTTTTGACCCCATGGCAGCAAAAGAGGAACTGAAAATGGAATTCGCCATTGTCAATTGTTGCCATAGACTGATGGACGGTAGAGCGTCCATAGACTTGTGAAAAAGTCCCACCGGTCCGTGAAGGTATAGAGACTCACCGGTATGTACTCAACAACGGTGGCACCACTGTGTAATGTTCTTTTCTCAGTTTTTTTCGATTAAGATAACGAAAATGAGAAAAGCTGGAGAAACACTAATCAGATCTCTCTCTTAACGTTTTGGGAGATTTTAGACGTATTAATTCATCTAAATTATTTAATTAGTTTAAAGTGTATTATTCAATTTGGTTTCTTATAGGCTGTACTGGGCCTAATTTCCTCAAAAAAAATAGATGCCCAAAAGAAGAGAGATTCACAATTTTAAAAGAAATGGCCCAATCTACTTACCTGTCATCTTCCTAACTCTTCCAATTTTCATCATCCTGTGCAGCGCGGCTTCAATATTCAACCTTTCTTCCTAGCTCATCGGCAACTGTAAATTTCGGCGGAGCCAGCACGCGCGATCACGCCCTCTCGTCAGGTGCTGGCTCCGCTACTACCACCCTATGTGAGTAAAATGTTGCAAAAAAATCCCACCTACCTCTTATTGTGAGTATTTCGAAGGGGTTCCCTGTACACCAAGCATTTTTCATTGGATATTTGCCTTGGAACTTTTTTACAAGTAACATCATGGGGAGATTTGATATTCTATGCACACACTAGTGACAATCTTATCATTTTAAGGTGTGTTAGGTGTTGTTTGCTGCTCAAATTACCATTTCATATATTTTGCCACAACAGAGGACTATTTCCAGTGGCTTTCCTTAGTTATTTGTTGCC